GTTTGCGGCCTACGCCACTTATTTATCGGGTGAGACTGTTTTGGTGATGTATTAACTTCACGGGAGGTAGACGACCGTCCTTCACACGGACGAAAGAGAGAGTGCTCAAACAGCGGCTCCCACAGCAAGGAGGGGCCCCGTGATTCGTCGCGGTGCCCCCTNAGCTATCGGGCGGGATTGTTTTGGTCATGAATTAACTTCACGAGAGGTCGGCGACCGTCCTTCACACGGACGAAAGCGAGAGTGCTCAAACAGCGGCTCCCACAGCAAGGAGGGGCCCCGTGATTCGTCGCGGTGCCCCCTACCAAACGGCAATCTTACCAGTCTACGTGACCCAAAATCATCCAGCACATGTATCCAACACCAATGTTCGCAGACCCACGAACAGGAGGGAGAACCTGTGGATGGAGGACCAGGTTTCAACCTTGGCACGACGGCAGCCCCGGGGCCCGCGGGGCCGCCCGCGCGCGTAGCGCCGGCGGTACCGGCGGCCGCGTCTCAGGAGTCGGGTGCGGGCGACGCTTGCGATGGGGCCCCCTCGAGCAGGGAGGGCGCGAGCGTCGCCCACTCTACCGCGTCGATCGGCACGGCCGATGTGGGCGGCGGCGAGGACGAACGCCGCAGCAGCGGTAGCGGCGGCAGCGGCAGCAACAGTAGCAGCCGCGGTAGCTGCGGCAGCGGCAGCGACAGCAGCAGTGGCAGCGACAGCAAGACGGATATCTCGGCGCTCCGTGGGCCAGAGGCCCGGCGGCTCGCCCGCTTCGACAAGCCGGCGGAACTCACCAGCCGCCGCACTAGGGAGNGAACTCACCAGCCGCCGCCCTAGGGAGGACCCTCGCCGAAACCCGAGGTACGAGTCGCCCCCGTCGCCGACAAGTGCCGAAGCCCTGCTCGCCTCGGCGGCGAGCCTGCCCGTCAGCAGCACGGAGGAGTTCACCAGCTGGATGCTCTCGGCGGTTCTTCACCTGGCGGAATAGACGCAAGGGCGGTGCGAGAGTTGCTGTTCGAGCGCGCGGAGGAGGCCCACGCTGCCGCCAAGAGGCGGAGGGTTTCCTGCTGGGTGCGGTGTGATCGATAATTTGGGTGGCTCAGTTGTGTGTGATGGGAGTGTAGAGCAGCTCGGCCATGACGGGCCGTTTTGGTAGGTAAAGTCGTACAGACATGTGGAAAAACGTGTTGTATTCATCGGGGGCGTGCTTGAGCTCGTCATGGAAACTTCTTGTTCCTCCGTAGTTCGTCACTGCAGATCCCGCATATGTATACGCAATATACCACCCCCATGCTATGCTACGAGTATATCGAATAGCCCCCCTGCTCGTATGCATCGTCATGCTCCGGCAAAATATCAAAGTCATCCTTCTCATACCCGTTCATCCCAAAACACAATCAAAACCAAGAAAAAAATCAAAATCCCAACACCAGAACAATACGTCCGAAAATTATCAATCGCATACCAACTCTTCCAAATCACCAAGAAAAATCCCTAACACTAACTCTCCAAAACACTACAATCTCCACTTGACTCTCTCCATCTCTTGTTCAAACCCGTACATATCCTCTCTCTTCCACTCCACGGCAAAACACGATTTGATCCCAAAACACTTCTTTTTCACTGCAAATTCATCACAAAGT